CACGAATCCCGCTGCCCCTGGCAGCACCTCCCCTCGCTTCTGGCAAATGCTTGAAACTATGGTTCGAGCGTAATCCCCTCCACTCAGTCGTTCTCAGACTTTTAAAATCTATTGACAACTTTTCTCTTTGCAATGGAGGAAATATCTCAAAAAGCAGCAAATAGAAGACAAAATCGGATTCATATTTGTATGAACATGTTTTAAAGTTCGAATGGTTAAACTTTTCAAAAGAGCCAAACTACACGAAGGAATTAGTTTTATTCCTGTTCCAATGTCATAGCTATTCTGTGTTTCTTGATTTCTATGTGTTATTTTGATTGTGTGGTACTGGGGCTTTTCTGAAACACACACATAATGTACTTTAGTGTTATCAACGTCTCATATTGTACTTAAGTATCTTGAACTGTTTTGATTCCATTCCTGAAGTGTGGAATCATCCTCTTGATTCTTCAAAGCTTAACCGATTAGAAAAACAATGGCCCGCTACCCTTGAGACATACTCACACTTTGATTAAAAAATACTTTTGAAGGTGCCAATTTTAATATAGTTCTGCAGCTTCCTAAATGGAAATTCATGAAACTGTTACTTGCTGTCTGATTCAGCCAGTCGCTCAAAATTTAAATTATCAGATTTATTTTACTATGTGCATAGAACAAAACTTTAAATTTTATGGCTACCTCCTTAGCTGCAGCTATGAGCTGCAGTTGTGAAATCAAATCTCTAAGAGAAGCTTGGCGTATATATCTATGTATCTGTATCTGTTTACATCTATGACTATGTCTATGTCTACATCTACTTTCACGTCTATGTCTATCTCTATATCTCTGTCTCTGTCTCTGTCTCTATCTCTGTCTCTGTCTCTATCTCTATCTACAAGCCCATTAGTTGGTGAAGCTAGCCAACAATCGTGCTTTCTTTGACAGTAAATAATGCTCCTCAAAATAGTCTAAATTTGTATCTAAAATACTAGCACTGTCATCAAGTTTTCCCTTCGACTGATTGCTGCATGTTATTTGGTTCTGTGCCAAACAAAAATATCTGAATTTGCTGGCCTTTTAGTTAGATCGGGTTCACATATGCATTGATGATAATGTGTCCATTTGTAAAGTTTTCTTATTAAATATAAAGAGTCATGTTCTTTTACATAACAAAGCAGGGCTATAGACCTCCCAATCAAAGCCACATTTGTATAAGTGTGTGTATCCATGTGTCTGTCTGTCTGTCTGTCTGTCTGTCTGCCTATCCTTGTATATCTCTGTCTCCTCAACTGAAAGTAAAGAAAAAAGAGGAAAAGGAAGAGAAAGGCCACAGGAAGTTGCTGTCACCTGCTAACACAAATTAATGGTTCGAGAATGGTTAATATGGTAAACTCTTTAGAGAACACATTTTTCTGCACTTCTATTAGACTATTTTATTGCTTCAAAATAATGCAGTGGATTTGCTCCAAGTTTTTTAGAGAACTGTTGAAGAATTGCAGTTATAATTCAGTGGAGCACAGTATGAAAAATAATGTTTTAGCTGAAGGCCTTTATATCTTTTAAAATGCAAATCTGCTACCTTCATCTGCAATCAGTCATTTATACATTAATGTGAATGAATTTATTAGACATCTTTCTGAGGTTAATTTAGATGAGCAGGAGGTAAAGATGAACTCAAATTGAAAGACATGGGAAAGATTAAATATTAAAGCAAGGAGCACTGAAGACAAACTTGGCCTACTTTGCAATTCTGCTTAAAGACGGTGCCATCGATATATAATGCACTAATTTGTATTTACAAACACACTCTCAAGGAAAGAGGCTGGGGAATTAGGAGTGTGTGAGGAAGAATATCTTTCACAACTGCATGCAAATAGTGCCATAAATTTCAATGGAATAATATAATTAAATGAATTGCTTATAATTTTGTTCACTCTGAATTAAGCCTATCATAAAATCCCCATCTACAAATTTATGGAATGTTCGCTTGTTATTTGAGTCTCCTCCAAAAGTGAATAGTCCAGCAGTTCCAGACCATATGGATTTTAATATTTGGAGGGTTTGATGCACCCAGCTTAATCTTTGGCCTATAACATTTCTTTAAATAAATCAAAGAGTGTGAGGCTTTTTTTTTTACTTTAAGTTCTTCTATTAGATGATATAACTTATCTCTGTTTTATGAATTTATACTTTCTCTGCACCTACCCTAACAATATTTTTCAAAATTTAGAAAAAGATGTATCAATTTCAAAACACGGTAAAAAAAAAAAAAAGTGCAGATGGTGACAGCATTCAAAAACTACATAATGAGAAAATTGTGTTCTAGAATCACAGATCATGAATGTTTCCACTTTTCTTTTATTATGGGGACTTGATTCCAAGAGCTCCAACTGGAGAAAACAAGAAGACAGTAGGGAAAAAAGAAAGTGTTTCCCACACATGCGAGTACCAGGCGTCTACAACCATAGCCGTAGATAGTTCAGGCTTTATTGCAAATTTGTACTCCTGAAAACAGCATACTGAGAGAGCTGTGAGGCCAGGCAGTCGGTCTGCTTGAGGCAGCTGCACAGGGGCAGTGCACATATTCGCCTCAACAGATGTTTGTCTGCATGGAGCACAGCCATATGCCTTTCACGCTTTCAACAGCTCAGGGAGTGAACCTGACTGGCCGCTGAGCCTCTGAGCATCAACTTGGCTCAATGTCTGGATCCTGCTCTTGGAGAGACCATACCTCCTGTTGGAATGAAGTGTTAGAATGAAAAACCTGGAATATTTGATAGTTATTGCTTATACATGTATAGCTTAAGACTTTTGTAAGAAGAGAACCAACGAATGCAGAGATAATACCTAATAATGTAATTTGTATAATTGAGAGTTTGTAAGTTGGTCTGTTTATGGTCTTTAAGCTAATTCTATTTTTTTTTTTTTTTATTTTAGGGAAGGTTCTACAGGGTATTCAGGATCTCACTACTAGATCAGACTCATAGTGATCTGCCTGTTTATAGCCTCCCAAGAGCTGGGATTACAGGTGAGCGTCACCACGCCCAGTCTCAGTTGCCATCTCAGCATGCCCCAGGGGTGGGGCCAGCATGGAAGACCCAGGGATTGTACCCCCACCCCCTGTGCCTGCTTGCAATTACTGCAATCCGCTGTGCTATTTTGTCTGAACTGCTAATTCTAATTCTTAAAAGTTTTTACTATTCTCAGAAATCTACTTGTCTTACACTTAGATTGTTATTTAAATATGACAATATTAATGTCCATGGCTTCTAAAAGCTAATATTTATTTTCCACTCATTAGTAAGTCACATAGGAATTTTTATGTGTCTTTAAAATGTCATTTTTCTTCATGTTTTCATAATCATATTATATTCTGAGTATGAAATATTTCACTTGATTGTTGTAATCTTTGGTGCACTAAACTACAGAGTTATGCAGGCTTATTTGTTCACTTCAGAAGCTTCCAAGCCTCCTGTCATTAGTAGGCTGCAGCAAGCTTTGGTCTCAAGGGACTGAGATTCTCTAACAATCTAACACTGTCACCACTGATCTTTGTCACCCTCACAGTACCAAATTCTACATAACAGAGGCAACAAGCCATAGAATTATTGCCCACTAGTAGAAAGTCCAAAAACCTGATTTGTTTATTTATTTATTTATTTATTTATTTATTTGTATGAGTGTCTTAAGGCTGTGATCTTATATTTTGTCCTTGCTACTTTGAATTAAGACCATATATTATCATATTTCCTGGTGCAATAATGGCATTAGGTAAATTTTAGAAAGCAAAAGATGTATGTTAATACATATAATTTTTTGGCAAACATCATCATTTTATTACCTTTGCTTGTAAAATCTATGAAGAAGGGGCCGGCAAGATAGCTCAGTAGAATAAATTCAATCCCCTGAGTTCAATCCCCGGTTCCGTAAATAAATAAATAAATAAATAAATAAATAAATATTTTAAAAAATCTCTCAGGAAGGAATAAATGTCATGTACTATTCTGAATTATATTAAAGCCCATTTAAACATTCTGTCCCACAACTTTTGTATCTTATTTTGTTACTTTCTGCTTACTGTTTTGTAGATCTCCTGGTGGTTGTTACTAACAATTTGGGAAAAATAAAAGATCATAAAATTTTATCGTGTGATCTTTAAGCATTCCCTTATAGATCATACTTAGAACAATGCAGCTTAATGTAAGACATCTTTAGCCAAGCCTGATTAGAGAGGGCAAAATCCAAATCTTTCCCAGTGCAACCTTGGAACAGTCCACACAGGCTTTGTCATGCCACCCAACATCCAGACTAAACTAGTCAATTTCAGAAAAGGTTAATCTGTAGTATATCCTTAATATTGTCTTGTGTGGAAAATGCTCTTGCTGGAGAAAGACAATACAGGAGAAAAAAAGTCTAAGAAAACCATATATAAATTCCAAATCTATTATTACATAATTTAAGCACACAAGGCTATCTGATGATAGAAAAAGTACAACTGCATAATAAGACATTTATTGATAACATATAACTTTTTTCGTAGCTGCAACAAAATAACCAGCACCCAAAGTTAAAGGAGGGAAGGTTTATTTAGCTCTCAGTTTGTAGAAGACTCAGTCCCTAACTGACTGTCTTCAATGTAGGCAGCTCCACAGAGAATGATTCATGGCTCCCACAACCAGCACAGGCAAAGGGGACTAGACTCTTTCTGTCCTTATATCATATGCACACTAACCGCCCTAGGGCTTGTACATCACTCACACCCTTAACTCCAGTCAGAACTGTGCCAAACCAGTCAGTGGAGTGATTTACTAATCACACACCCTAATCCCAGCACCCTTAATCCCTACCTTGCACTAGGAATCAATCACACACATTAGATTCAGCTACCTCCACAAAAGCCCCATGACCACAGGAGGTTTTGCAGGCACACCTAGACACAGATGATGACATAATGCAGTGGAAAGTTCCCTTCACGGTAGCCTTTAAAATGTGATGAATGAGCAGGTGCACAGAAACCCTACCTTGACTTGCAAACTTCAACTCTTTGGCATCTGTGAGGGTGGTTCTTTTGTCCGAGCCTTTTTTCTCTATCCGTCGATGGCTTCTCCTTTTCTTAGACTCTCCCCAAAGATTGGATCCTCCATGCATGCTTGGTATATTCAAGATCGCAATTCCTTCCAGGGAGATGTTCATTAAATCTATCTGCACTCCATCACACTGACCAGCAGAAGGAAAGAACAGAAACTGTCAGATGTTTTAGCTTTTCCTCTTTAGTTTCTTCTTTTTTCACTTATTTCCTAATAAGGGCTTATACATTGATAACACTAACATTTCTAGATAACAATTTCAAAAGCACATAAATGCTTTTCCTACATGTCAACATAAAATATAACACAAATCAAGTAACATTAGCGTATTATCATTTATAATCCTTAAAAATGTTGAAACTGAATCACTAGTGTGGCTTTGTTTATAGAAAACCTTTGAGAAATACGGTATTTTCTGCACACATAACCAGCTGCAAATTCCCAGCCTGTTACAAGGAGGTTGATTCTGAGCAGTGTGGTCAATTTTCATGCAGTGATTCTAATAATTGGCCCTTACTGCAAAGTTCCACACTTCACAAAGCGCCATGTGGGGCAAAGGAAAACACCAGTATGCCTGATTCATGGTTTCCATTTCCATCGGAGGAAGCAAGGATTGAAGTGACTTGGAAGACTTCAAGGAACAAAACTGTGAAACAGCACTTCAGATGATCTCAGACATGGGAATGACCAAGCAATAGACCGAGGGCAACAGGAGGTGCAGTTGTCTAGATGAACGGGGAGGACCCATCAGCACAAGGGAAGTGATGATGGTTTGAAAAATAAACAAAACATCATTCAGACTTGTTGGTTTACGGCATTTCTCAGTTACTTTTCTTTCATTGCTGGGACAAAATACCCAATGCCTCAAATTAAAGGAGGAAAGTTTACTTAGCTCAGTGTGTGGAGATTTCAGTTGGCTCCAAGGCAAGATGGTGGTGCAATACAGGGGCAGCCATTCATGGCGTGGAAAGATACTCAAAGCACATAAGCCAGAAAGAGGAACGCCTCGCTTCTTCCCCTGTATTGTACACAGGGTACCCAGATGAGGGCAGGTGCAGCGATTGCACCAACAATCCTAGCACTAGGCAATGAGCCACTCTCAAATTCTAGATTCAGCTGCCTCTGTAAAGCCTGCCCCATGACCACATGATGCTTTGGGGGACATCCAGGCACCAACCATTACCCTTAGTGACAGAACATTCTGGTGAAAATGAAAAACATCCAGAGATCACGAACGCAGTGCCTTGCCGTCATTACTAGTTACAGTCGATTTTTAATTTTTAGAGATTTTTCTGTTCATTGCTGTTGATGGATATGCGTGAGGAGTAGCAAGGCTATTCTGCATTTGTGAATGACTGAGTGCATTATTTGCCTTGGGATTTCTAGAATAGAAGTTAATATATTTCAGAAATTGTTCTATTTTAAGTTATAACTCAATATGAGAAGAGAATATGAGGCAATTAAGAAGACATATAACTTTTGTTTTTAAAAGGACTTTTTTTCATGGTGAGTAGCTCATAACCCAGATTATGTTTGCCATGAAGTTGCTTTACTCTTCATATCTTTTGATAAAATAAGTCACTGATGCTAACTTCATTTCTCTCGAAATTCATGACATTTTAGACTTAGAAGAAGTACTGGGCTACCAAATTGAGAACAAAGCAAAATCCTCTCTTTCTCCACATTCACCTCATCACACTGAATCTAGGATTACATTTGTGCACCAGAAAATAAAAACTGTGAAATAAAGCAACACATCTTGAGCCTGCTTGGCAGGGGCTGAAGCACATTCTAGAGAAAGTGCCAAGTTTTCCTCGACGTTGTCTCGAAGAGAGTTAAAGCAAGGTCTGGATGACGTTTTTCTCTTTTTTCCAGAAACAAGTGATTTTTCCCCTTCCTTTTCATGTATTAAATTAAGATGGTTTCTTTTTTACTAAAGAATTCCGCTCATGTGTACACTCACTTACTGCTATATAGTCTAGATAAACAGATATTAATTTCATAATTAAAAGTAATCTTGTGTAAATACCCTACAGGCCTCAATGAATCAAACACATACTGTGTGTCAGGCCTCCTACCGTCTTCAAGTGGAAAGTACTGGCTAGATAATTAGATAGTACATATTTTTTAACCTTATTTGCATGCATATTATATCTTTTGCACACTGACAAGCAGCAGTAACAACAAAAGTCAGATTACCACAGGGAATTCCCACAAAGAAGTCTTCATTCCTTATAATTTGCAGCCTAAATTAAAATAATTTGATCTTTGACAAGGATGAAATGTCAAGCAGAAGGGGGTCCTCTACAAGCCACGGCCCGTGGCTTCTGAAATCTGCCTAATTTATGTCAGTCACTTCTTAATACATATTTAAGTATTACACGAAAAAGATGATAAATATGCAATCTGACACCTTTGGTATTTCCCTGCTGTTAATTTATAAAGGTCTGGCTTCCCCCAAACTGACTAAAATGATTTAAATAACAGAAGAATCTCGAAATAAGCTGGAGTTGGGGCCTGGCTTCCATTTTCACTCAATATTGAACACAGCAGGTAGTACACTAAGACAATTATTTGACTAGGCCTCCGAACCCCGCTGTGACAAGTTACTTTCAGAATTAGTGAAGGAGGATTCCTTTGTTCATCTGCAGAAAAAGCGCAAGTTGCAAGTAGATTTTTTTTTTCCTTTTAATTGAACTGGTAGAGTTATACGCAACAATGGAAGAACACCAGCGGACGCTGGTTTTCATGTTGGCCCTGCTCAGAGCCGTGTCATGTGTCAGCTTGAGGGAGCAGTACAAGTCATTCTTGAAGAAGTGAAGAAGAACATTCTTAAGGAGTTGCCAAGAACAAGAGCTGATGAAGAACATTGATGTCCCTTTGCGGGCAGGATGATGTACTTAAATACATTGCTATTTATTAATGATTTGTTTCCACTAGTTCTTGACCTCAGGCAACCTTCCTCTGTTTGCTTTAATATTATGTTCATTAGCCTGGAAAATTTCAGGGCTAGTGCTGATGGAGACCAGGACTTGGAGCGTACCAGTTGAGTATAGGAAAATAAAAGCGAGGGCTACGAAATATAAACAAGTTATAATACGGTGTCAGGTAATATCTTCATCCCCTTTGATGATTTACAACTTTGAAAAGGTAACTGCAGAAGAAAAGAATATAAAAGCCTAAATGCTAACGGCCTCAGTTCATCAATAAATCCTGAATATTTTTATTATGTAGGAAAGGTTATTAACATATAGTACTATTTATAGAGTGCAATGAGGTGAGGCCATTATCTTCTTAGTTTTAAAATGGAAGATGCTATTTCCAAGATAAATTTAGATTAAAAGGATGGTTTGCACATTTTGCCAATATATATTAATCCTAGTTTTTTACTCTGGTGAAATGTAAGCAGAGACAGCAAATTTGATGAGATATAATTAATGATAAATTATAACATGTTCCACAGTGTATCTGATTCTATGTCTATATCAAAAGAAATATATTCACATTTTTTCTTAGTGAAACTTAAAACATTTCTTTATAGATATTGTTAATATTAGGAGAGCTAGCGCAGGAACTGTGGGGGAAACCACCTCATCGCCTTTAAGGATTTTGTCTGCAGGGCTGAGGAGATAGCTTGGCAGTCTAAGCACTTGCCTGGCAAATGAAAGGACCCATGTTCAATCCCCAGTACCAGATGCCGTGCTGGCCCCGGAACCCTGGGTGTGCTATGCCAGCCCCAAGACTGGTTCTCTTTGCTAGCTTACCCGACTATTCCTGTGCTTCAAATTCTGTAACTCATGCTGTTCTCTATATTGTTCATTTCATATAAATGAAACCACTAAACTTGTGAGTTTTAATTACTTGACTTAATATTATGGTCTCACAGTGCATCCATTTTCCTATATATAATTCAAATTTATTCTCCTTTATGGAAGGGTAACACTCATTATATATACATTCATTTTTTTTTCTGTCCATTTATCTACTGATGGGCATAGAGATGTTCCAAGATTTAGCCATTGTGGGCTTATTTTTTAATTCTTGAGATCAATTAGGTTTAGAAAAGTTCATAATCATTGAGGCAATTCTCAATATCATGGGATGGAAGTTCTTGGCTTTAAAATCTATGATTTGTGATGGTTAATACTGATTTTTCAACTTGATTGACTTGGGAGACACTGAGGGGATTTTTAAGCACCTTCCTGGGAGTAGGCAAGGGGACGTGGCCTAGAGCACGGTTTCTTGTCTTTCCTATCTCTGGCTCTTTTCTGTCTCTCTGCTTCCTGGATTCCATGAGCTCAGTTTTTCAACCAGGTCTTTATGTTCTGATGTCTTTGCTTTGGGGGCAGCAAACAACCAATTACAAGGTCTGAAACCCAGAACCAAAATAGACCTTTCCCTGAAGTTGTAGATGTCAGGTATTTTGTGCAAGCAACAACAGTTGAGCAATACAGCCTACTTCTGGACTGACCAACAACCAAAAGACTGAAATACTGGAGAGTTGGCTTGCCTATTCTCTCCCTTACTTTGTTTGGAACAGAGATGCAGAAATCAATCTTCTCTATTTTATTCTTATTTGTCCCAAATAAACATTTAGATTTAATCATTAACACTAACATAATTCTTTTTTTTTTTTCTAAGTGCTTAAAGAGAATGACAAGCTCAGAATTGGATGCATGACAAATCTTGTAAATTCGTACTGTTTTCATGGAGACTAACACAGATAATGCACACGGAGTGCTCAGCACCAAGTGTGAGCTGGAATTAAGATCAATACATCTTAGCTAATAATATTTTGATTATCAACTACCATCCTATGATATTTATATCACTCTAAACATTTGTCCCTTTTGGAAGGAGATTTCCACATGACAGAAGAGAGTGAAATAAAACACACAGAAAATGGCTTGTTTTTGAATACTCTGCCAGTGAAACGTATATCCATTGCTTGAAGTTCTGTTGTTTCTTATGTGGTTTGTTCCCTATTGTATATTTTTCAAACCATACTTGGTGTAATTTTAGGCTGCATAGGAAGTAATAGCAAGCAGAATCCAATTTTTGAATTGCTGTTTTTGCTATATTTAATTATGAAGCAACCTTGAGGGTAGAAAGACATATTCTGCTAATATGATAGACTGGATTCATTAAAATGTGAGCAGAGAGGCAGATTTGGCATTGCTGTCACACACAGATACTTACATGTACACACACACACACACACACACACACACACACAGCATGATGGAAAATGCACACAGAGTTTGTAGTGCTTCCTAAAACAAACCAATAATGCAGTGTCAGAATGCCCAATTTGGAACATATATAGCAACAAGGATCAAAGAAAAAAAACAACTCTATTCTAGTTGTTCAGATTTCTAGGGAGTGTCCTAAATAGTTTTTCTATAACATGCAAGCATCTGGAGAACAAAACAACTCAGTTTTATCATATTTAGAACTTTAAAAGGGAGCGAAGTAGGAAAAGTGAGATAAAAGATTATAAATGTGTCCTGTACGTGGTGTAAGTCCTTCGGTGTGTGGAATCATTATGTACTGAAAACATGTACAGCACTAATAAAAATAAAAATTTTAAAAATTGATGTTTTCCACATTGCTTTTCATTCAAATGTCTTTTGCTATATAATGCTCTTTGTTCTTGGAGTTTTTAAAAATTTGTGGCTCACACAATATCTCCCCATAAGTCAACAGCTCCTTTATCTGTAGTCAGGGACAGGCCAAGGTTAACAGAGGGTCAGGGGTACCAGGGTATCCTCCTTCATTCAACCAGATCTGAGCTTCTGTTGGCTTAAATGTTAGTTTTTGCCACAGGTTTCCTTTAGACATAGTTTTCTAAGAATAAAAGGTGATCAAAATCTACTGTATACGGCAATTTTATGAAAGTAATGACTTTGACTGTGAAGGGAAATTGTAGTTTTAAAATAAATATTATGTACATATATTACTACAAATAACTATGCACAACACATGTATATGTACCCCTTTAAATATAAATAGCACAAAACTATATGTTGTATTACATAATTTAAATATAGTATTGATTATTAGTGGCATATATTGTTAGTCACAATATTTAATGCATGTTCAATGTATATGGTCATAAACAGTAATCTCTGGATAGCAAGAGAGCTCAGAGGACTAAGTGCCTGCTTAGGCAAGTGCATGGACCGGGGTTCAATCCGCAGTACCACAGGCTGTACTGACTCTGCCCCTGGGCATGCTGAGCCAGCCACTGAGTCCAGCCACAGTGCCGCACGCCTGTAATCCCAACGCTGGGGAGTCTGAAAACAGGAGGATCACTATGAGTCCCAGGTGTGTAGTGAGACCCTGTACCAAATACATTAAAAAAAGCATGGTAATGTCAGAAAATCCATTTTGAGTCCAAATCTTTAGTCTTCTTAGACCATATTTCTTACTAATAGTAAAGCCTAATCTATTGAAAAAGGGCATTCCTATGTCATAACCACTTGGCCTGTGTCAAGTTCTTAAATTATTTTTCTAATCATGATGAGAAAAAATAACACTATCACATTAGGATGAGTATTATTCTGAGTTTTGTGTTATCAAATAGAAAGTTAGGAACAAAAAGAGCCTAGTTAGGTCGTTGTGCACTTCTGTAGCTCATAACCACTTCTGCTTACCAAGTTATAACTTGCATATGTACCGTGCGAATGACATACATATCAGGAGGGTGCGTTTGCATTTATTTTCATAAAAATAAAAGTGCCGAGTCAGCATTTCTCAATTCCTACCTCTCCGTCATTAAATATTCGTGTTTTCTAATTCTGCGTCTTATTTTTTGTCTTTACATTTATCAAAATATAGCTTTTTCTTTTCCTTTAATATTTAGAATCTCACCATGTCATTTTCTTTTACAATATGTCTCCAAATTTTTTACTCCTACAGCGTCTGTCTATTTTTGGAAGACCTATTTGCTCCAAGTCTTTTCAAAGTATGTCTTTTCTTATTATCTTCGCTCCCTTTCTTGGCATTTTCACTTCCTATATATGTAACAGGGAAATGGCAACTTTGGGAACTGAGAAGGCCTAGCTAATGAGTGGGAATGAAATGGGGAAATACATTTTTTAGAATTTATTCATGGAAGTAAGTACAGTTCTAGTGAACTGTGTTTTAAGGGTTATGAGATATTGAGATTTTAAAATATTAAGTGTTTTATATATCTTGCAACTTCTTTTCATTTTCTTCAACTACTTCTTTTCTCTTACATCTTTCTCTCCACACTACGCCATGAACCTCTTCCCTGGCTCTCCAAATTGTGTCCCACTTCTCATTTTTATACTATGTTAAATCATCTCACACCAATACTTAACTGTACACGAACAGCTCAGGGATGACTGCATGCCTTATGAGTGACAAAAAAGACATTTTAGACTCTTGGACATACTTGCTGAAAGTGTATTTCATTGCAAGGTCTATGCCATTGACGTATTAACAACAAAACACAAGCCATTTTCTGTTTTTACAAAAGTGAATTCATTTTTCTTACTTCTATTTCTACAGATTCATGAAGCTTCTTGCAGGTGGCTGAGAAAGTTTCAGATGTACCAAACTCAAAATACCAAAATTTGTTCTTCATTCTGAAAAAGGAAAGGGAAATGCAACTTAGGCAATTAGCAATAACAAAAGTCATGTTTTTCTTTTTACACTGACCTCAGTCTGTCTCGCATTACAAGTAATAGAACAACTTTGAGGAGAAGCGACATCCAAAATGTAATGAATGATCACATAGCTTTCAAACCTTAGATATTGGTATCAATCTCTATGATAGTTCCTGAGGGGCTTACAAGAATGTGTTCATTTGACAGATTCAAGTAAACCTTTGACACTTCTATAATGGTTTTGGTGCTTATGACTGCTGTGTTAGGTAACTTGATTTTAGAACTAGCCACTCTGTAGTCATAAGGAAAGCAAATAATTCTAAGATTTTAATGGGGAAAAAATGAGATAAAATTTAAATATGCAAAATGATTATGCATGGATATGTATTTATTATAAATAGACATGATTAGACACCATATGAAAATAAAGAAATAGAGGTTATCTATAAGGCTAGAATGCATGACTTTAGGATAATCATTGACTTCTAAAAAGATATTATGTTCTCTCATGTTACCAATAGGAGGAAATTATGTTATCCTGTAAAAGACCAAACAAAATCATAATATCAGTATAGCATAAACTGCAGGAAAATATAGTTTAAAAGATTTTAGTATTTATCCTTAAAGGAATATCAGATTTTTTTTTCATCCCATGAACCAGTGATGACAAATTAGGCTTTTTGTACCAGGTAAAAATTTAGAACCACTTAATACAACTTTATTTATTTTTTGTAGGTCATGGGGGAATTTATTTATTTTTTTATTTTCATAATTTTATTGATAAACAAATAGCAATGAGACAGTTTCAAATCAAATCGCTAGGACAGTTTCAATAACTAACACACTGCATCCATTCTTCTTAGAGGTTAATTGCTGTACAAGATGCGGACTTGAGATCCTATTCACAAACACCATTAGAACAAATCATTCTATTCATTAAGGGAATGTAACTATATATCTATCCTAACCACTTTGAAATACACAGATACAAAATGGACATTCGGCCGGCGGGACCAGTCCCAGCCCAGGCGCAGCGTGGGCCAGACCCTCTCCCAGCCCCTCGGGCCGCCCCCCACCACTCCGCAGTGCCTCCCCCAACCCGCCCGCCGAGTAGGATTTTCTGCCGAGTTCCGGGAGCCCCCAGACCCAGTCCTAGCCCAGGTCCGGTGAGTGTGCGGAGAGTTTCCTGCTACCCTGC